CGATCAGGCCAAGCCACAGAGTGCCCATCGTAATTCGCACATGCACTTGCAACACTCAAGTGTCCTTCGCTGTTTACATCTTTCACTTTAATTTTTATTACCATGGTCAGAACGGGATTTACAAACCCCTATACAAACAATCTAAACGTCCATCTGGGTAGGTAGTCGAACGATTTACGCGGGAAAGAGTATTGTAAATTATGGGTCCGTTTTCTTTGAGCAAATGTTATTCATAAACGAATCTGTCGACAAAATTTATATTCTTCTTTATAACTGCATGTTTTTGTGAACTATGTTTAAATTTTCCATTAAAAAACATACCTTTGCACATTATAAATTTTCTTATATGTTTAGTGTTATAATGTGCACTAATGTTACATAGGTTGTATTATTTATTATCAAAATATTCATGCAAAAGCATTAGTAATACTAACAAAATTCCCATGTGCAAGCATTTTTTAATTAATTTACTAAAACATTTATTGAATAAGTAATGAATCATACAGCAAAACTACAATAAATTATTTCTACTTAAGAGCAACTAAAGTTATTTAATTTTACCTCCCACATTAGATTTTTGTAAGGTTGCAATATTTAGCAAACTGATTTGCCTTTTGCAATTTATTCTTAAACATAAATTTAGGCTTCTTATGTTAAAAAAAATAATAAAAATAATAAACAGAAAGTTTAAAACAAATTTCTAAAAAAAAAAATCATGTATATATAGAGTTACTTGTATATATTTTTTAAATTATGTTTTCTATAATAGTGGTATGAATTTTGAATGAACTGTAAATAAATATTTTAATTTTCAGTAGATTGTTTTCTTAACAGAAAAAGTTTATTTTTTGCTGTTACCTATTTAAAGTTATAATATTCTTGATATTTACACTGTTTAATTTAATGCAAGTGCTAACAGAAAATTTGCCAATGTTTCAATTAATATATGTAGGTATGAATACATCAAGCCACTGATGAGTCGCAATTTGTACGTTAAAATACAAGTGCAAACTCCAATATTCGTTTTCGCTCTTTACATCTTTCATTTTAAAGGTTTTTTACCATGGTCAGAATAAAATTTACAAGACCCTGTCCCTATACTAACAATCGGACCATCTGGTTAGTTGAATTCCGCGGGAAAATGTGTTGTAAATTTTCCGTTCTCTTTGAGCAAATGTTCACAAACGAATCTGGCGGCAAGATTTATTTTATTCTTAACGTTGTTGTTTTTAATTTTCACAGTAGTACGCAATAATTATGTAAAAGGATTAATTTATTATATTATATTTTATACTGTTTTAATTGTGTAAAATAATGAATATAATTATATTTGTAAAAAAATCATGAGTTGTCTGAATCTGGTGTTCTGGACCGAGTTTGATTAATAATAATTATCTATATTTACTGAGATTTTGATACAATTTTAGTACATTTATATCAGACCAACATAAAAATCTGGTTGTATCTTAGGAGATACATTGCCAACATTGCTTAAAATCATGGTTGTATCCCACAGTTCACACTGCCAGCTTTTCGATGAATTTATGCTGTGTTCCTAAAATCTGGCAATGTATCTACACAGATACATTCCAGTACCCCCTAAACCGGGCGGTGTATCTTCTGAGATACATAGTTGTAAACAAAGAACGATTGTGTTGAAAATTATTCTGAACGATTTTTTTGCTTTGTAACTTCCATATATGTACAAAAATGTAGAAAGATAATTTTTTGTGACCTCTTCTGGTTTTGCCAAGTTAAGGGTTAAACATAAAATCTTTTTTAAATAAAATATCTAAAGGAGACGTTATTTCGGTTGAATTTGGAATAAATCACTGTAAATAATAATAATTAATCATACCTAAGAATCTTTGTAATTCTTTAACATTACAGTGATCTGGGGTGGGATTTTGTTTCTACCGATACGATACGAAGCGATAACGAAGCGATAAATGATAAGGACCACATTTTATCGGTATCTATATTATCGTTATAGAAACAAAATCCCACCCGTGGATTATTTTTTATTACCTTTGTTTTATCAAAATCTGCTTTAATTGCTTAATCACTGATCACATGCCCCTGATACTTAATTTCTTTTAAAACAAATTTACATTTTTGAGCATTAAATCGAATTATCTTTACTTGTTTTAACACTAATCTTAATCTCCTATTATGTTCTTCTAAAATGTCGGCTCACATTAAAATGTCATCAATTTATAACTATATCAATGCCCCCTAAATCTTCAAAATATTCGTTAATCTTTCTTTGAAATACCTCTGATGCAATTTTTAAACGATAAGGTAACTTTAAAATCTACTCCTTCCAAAAGGTGTGTTAAATATACATAGCTTAGAGCTTCCATCATCCAGCTTGATGTTCCAAAATCCACTAGCACCATCTAATATAGAAAAATATTTCGCATTTTTCAATTTCATGGTAATCTTTTCGTATGTAGGAATTACATATTGTTCTCTTAAAATGTAGGTTCATTTACCTTAACAATGGTTGTTTGTTTTGCTAGGTTATCTTGAACATACATTTTAATTATTTACAATACTGTACTTTCCTGGAAGACATCTTATACTCCGAAATGTCGCCGAAAATTCCTTCTGAAGATCATTGCATTTTTTAATACCATATACCATTTTCACTATACCCATTTTGTTTATGGCCTGCTGATCTAAAACGTTTATCCCTTCCGTAACTATTGTAAAACCTACCCAATACAATGTATCTTTCAATTCGCCTTATAACTTTACAAAACCTAGAACTTCCATTTTACTGCATGTGTATGTCCTTAAATGCATACCTGTTTTTTCTGTTTTGGCACCGTTGCAATATTTGTTGTATTCTCTGATATTCAGCCTATTGACTTCTGCTACTGAGTCGATCTTGAAAACCACTTGTTGATTGTAAATACGAAGAATGACCTTCCAATCATTTTTTTGGCATCTTCTTTATTTGTACCTTGTTAATATACGAACCACTTGCTTATCACCCTCTCAGATTCTCCTTGCGTCTGAATCAAATCCATTGGTTTTTTAAACACATTTTCTTAAAATGCCAAATTTCCCACGAAGGGAACACTTTTTGTTGTGTTAGTTCTAACATCTCGTACAGTGCGCAGTACTTTTTCCCCACCCGAATTTGACCTTGAATTCGAGTGTTGTTCCTTCCTTGGATTTGGGCCTCTTCCATTTTTTTTCCACGTATGACTTGCAACGATTCTTTGCTATTTCAGCAGTTTTACAAATCTCGATGGACTTGTTTAAGTCTAACTTTTTTGTTCTCAGTAAATGTTCTTTTACCGTTGTATATATAAGACATAGCTTGTATCCCTTTTCAAACTCAGTCAAGGCTGGAAATTTGCACGTGGAACTTAACTCAAACAAATAAATTTCACAGTAAAGTTGCGTCAGTGGTAAATCACCTAAAGAACATGATTATGTGCAAGCAATGTCTAAATCAGCCTAGAAAATATAACAAATCCCTCAGAACTTGCTTTTCTCCTTGTAAAACCGTCCTACTGTTACATTACCCACACAATAGTCATAGAAAAGTCTTTCCAATATTTTGTGTCATGTTGCTACTTTGAGATGAAAGTTAAGCCGCTTTCAGTGGTCTGGCTTTTTTCAGAGACGTTAGCTTCTACCAAATAGAGCATTTCTGGAGTTGTTCGTCATGTGTTATCGACAAAGAAATGTTGATATTGGAGCTTATAAATTACAACATTCAGCAATATATAATTAGGTGTGGTTATTTATAGCGTCCTTATTATGATTTCCGCGAACAGTTTGTTTTAGTTTAGTTTACGTATGTAAGCTTCATTCAACTGTACCTATTGAGACTGAAGCCATAATGGTGGATGCGCCGGGAAATAACCATATGTTTAAAACGAGAACCACGTTTCGTATTCATTCCGTTATGGTTATATTTTTACAAAAATGTGCTGTTATAATGATCTACTTCTCTTTGTAATGTATGTCGGATGCAGTGATACGGATGTAAGATAAAAGGTGGAGCGTTCTTTTGTTTTACAATATAGATATTATTTATTATTATAGAAGGAAATAAAAGACGTGAACATAATTAAAAACACAACACTCGTCTCCAGATAATATAAATTGGACATTAATAATTAAGGAATTAAGATTTTAACACTATAAGTATGTAGTTGGGTACTAAACAAGTTTGTCAAGACTACATTTCAGTTAAAAATAGTGCGTTTTCAATCTTGTAATGCACTGCGATACTGCGAACCTGAAGTTCCTATCATAATTTCATAACTGAAAGCTTCGTGGAAATTCAAATGTTGCACCTCAATTTTGTCAACACGTTACCCGGAACTGAACAAAGAAAAACTATCTGGCGCTTTTTTACTAAATTTGCAAGTTATTGTTTGATGATTTGTCCCTAAAACATAAAAATCTTAAACAGACGCAATCTGTTTTATAAATAACGCACTATTTTTATTGATGGTTACATGTTTCTCTTCCATTTTATCTTGAGTAGGGTTGCACTTTGTGTTTTGATAAGCAATGTGTATACTGTAATATTTGCTGTGAATAATCCAAATATTTCACTGTAAACAATTATAAATTATAAACAATCAAACTTTGTGCTTTCATAAACTTCGAGTTGTTTTGTTTGAGTTAAACATAAACGGATATTGCTTTCTACACAAAAGAAACACGCACCAATATTGCGTATTGTGTGTTTTACGTGCATAACACTTCGAGGACAGACATCAAACACATAACTCACTGTTTAAAGTTACAAATTCAAGACTGTCTGAATTTTTAATGGCATCATTTTACCGGAATTCATTATTCTCCCGTTCGTCCTCTTCTTTTATAATTCAAGACGAACATCAATACAATCGTGTTGTTGGAGGTCACGTCCCGGTGATAGAACGATCCAATAAAACGGTTTCTTAGCCCTGGAATTACCTTGTTGTAAATGCCAAGATCTGTCATTTATGTGTGAAACTTTGTTTCAGGACATTCCGATGCATACAACGACTTTAACGTTCCTGTTAATGGCGTGGGACAGATTGCGTTTCATTAGACACCCAACGAAAGCTCGTTTGCCGGCATTCGTCTGCATTATTGGGACATGGTTAGCATCTGTCTGTTTGGTATTGCCGTACCCTATTTACATCATTTACATCGATCTAGGGGTGAGTAAAACGGTTATTAAGCTGTGGAGTACTGTTAGCTGAGTTCGAGTCAGGAAATAGTGGTAACGCTACTAACAGTTGAACATTAGTGAGGAGCGGATTAATTTTGATATTAATTAATCCATACGTTTAATAAAATTACATCACCTGCAGCGTGATTCACGGGAAATGATGAGCCCGATGAAATTAGGAAGGCAACTCAGAATATCTTTCCAAACGATTTGAAATTGAATGAATATTACACTTGTAGGTAAGCAGAGAAAAATGTTGTGCCTCGGTGGGATTCGAACCCCACGCCTCTCGCTCTCCGGGCAAGCATCCTAACCACTAGAACACGAGGCCACTTATCTTTCTCTGCTTACCGACACACTAAAAACAAATTTTTGGAGCGGAAACACTGAACATTTTTTAAGAAGGAAATTGAAACGTTTTTCATTTTCTAAATTCTAGTGCAGAAGTAACATTTATGGTACTCGACGGAACATGAATAAACACAGAAAAATTACGATTTTATTTATATACCATTCGGTATAGTTCGAATTACTATCTACATTTTTTGTTAGAAATAAAAGTCAAATGCAAGGGTAGTTTGAATTTGATTAAAATTTTTCTAATTCAACCTTTTAGAACTGATGGAGAAAAACGACTTTTGATAGACGAGAAATTATGGGAAAGTGGTTATGAGGTCTTTAGATTACCTCCATACCGTTGTCAAGTTTTATTCAGTAAATTTCTGAATTTCTGAACATTAAATTAATCAGTTTAATAATAATAATATTTCTTGATGATATTTAAGCTGGCAACAGCGGTTATCTTTCTGAAAAATCTTAAATAGTCCATAACCCAAATCGCCATAAGATCAGCTTTGCTCCAGAGGTGGCTCTTTAAAGGTTGTCCTATCGTTGTAGCAGACGTTCTTCTAAAACAGTGGTCTGTGTAACTGCACGGATTTGGCAATTGTGCCAATAGTATTGATACTAATGCTTTTTCTAATAGAGTTACCACTTCGTTATCTAAAAAAAATCGTAAAATTTTAATTTGCGAAAGAGGAAGAAAAATGGACATTTTTGATATAAATAAAAAATTTACATCTTTCATATTTTCACTAGAAATTGTAGCTTTATGTCTTTAATATTTTCAAGTTGACGAAAAGTTCTACGCCCATTACTCAGTACAGTTCAACAAAATAATGTCATTTCTTTGAAAAATAAAAAAATATGCGTTTTCTAATTGTTATTTGTGATAGCCTCCAACAAATATAGATAAATAATACCAGTAACAGTTTGTCTACGACTTTCATCTTTTTTTAATACCTAAATATAAACCAGTGTATTTTCGACCAATCTAGAGTCCACTTGTCGTTAGAAAGCAAATATGGGCAGCTCATGAGTTGATAGGGCAAGGCACAAGATGCTTTTAAATCTAAATATTGAAAAATTATATTGTCATACTTGCTTTTTAGAAATTCACATGAAAATTTTTCGAAAAAGGAAATTTTAGAAACATTAAGCAATAAGAAGCTAAATTATCAAGAAAAATTTTGTTGTTATTTAAAAATGTGAATTTAAATATTTTTGGTGGTCACTCAAGTGTCTTTAGAACTGAAACAACTTGAACGTGCTCGCATTTTAGAGCTTCATTTTTAAGTGAAGGAAGTATTGTAATCGAGTCTGTCAACCGACTCTCTACTTTTACTATTTTCAACCTTTCGTGATCCCTAGAGTACGACGAAATAGGTCTCCCGTCTCCGTCTGTCTGCCCGTCTGTCTATTCTACACATTGACTCTGTATTGAGTTTTACTCGGAACTTCCAGATTTTTGGGAAAAATATCAAAATTATAAAACAAGATTTTGCAATTCAATTTTGAACCTGCAAAACCGAATGCTTTGAAATTTTGCAGTTGTTTTAAAGTTATGATAAGCATGATAAATTTTTAATCAAAATATATTTACTTATCCCCTTCAAAAAATTGGTGACGTCAGCTCAAAATTTTGCTGAAAAATGTGCAAAGTATGTTGAGTCAGTACTTGTGATTTATCATACACTAATATTTTTTAGATTTGCTTATACATGGTGCCTCAAAAAAATTGATGACAATGTATTTTATCAAGAATTGCAGAAGTAAATACTTTTAAATCTTGTAAACGTTTTGAAGTTATTGTAAGCATGGTAACTTTTTAATCAAAATGTATCTGTTTCTCAACCCTGTTTGTTCCCCTCAAAAAATTGATAACGTCATCTTAAAATTTTGCGGCATAAATTCTACCCAAAATGTGCAAAACATGATCAATTTTTACTTGTGATTTAATTTGTGATATAGGTATTCATATTTTTTAGTTTTGCTTAAAGAGGTGGATCAATTTTTACTTGTGATTTAATTTGTTATATAGGTATTCATAATTTTTAGTTTTGCTTAAAGAGGTGGGTCAAAAAATTAATGAATGAGTCAATTTATTTTATTGATTAAATCAGGAACGGCTCACTCCATTTTCACAGAAAACTTTGGAGCTCAAGGGTTCTTAGAGATGGATTATTTTAAGTTCAACATAGGAGTCATCAGAATCTGACAACGGACTGTCAGTCAGTAGCGTAACATGTACACTTCAGAAAAGGGTGGTTTTTAGATTTATTTTTTTAAATCGCAAACAATAACACGCGGAAACATAAACTTAAGAGAACTGTAGACGCTAATCCAAACAGGTACAGGTACCCATCGCAGGTAGAAAAGTTCACTATGACAGAGAAACAATGACGGACGCCTCTGAGGGTGCGCCCATTCGGAAATGCTGGATATGTTTCATTCTCCTTCAGGAGCGAGGGAAGTTCTGTTGAAACAACTTTCGACCACTTTTGTGCTTTTACTTTTTTAAAGGAATAAAGTCTAGAGATTTATTATTACAACAAAACTTAGACCGATTTTGTGACAATCTTTTTTATGAAACTAAACTGCGTACGAAAATTTTGTTTTTGTGCTAGGAAGGGAAGACTGTGGTTTATTCTGTTGAACAAGATACTTTTATCGTTATGTGTTATTATCGCAATGGGACTTCCTAAACGAAGAGAATGTGCATTCTGTAACCGCTTGTAAGCAAGAATATCCGGCCAAATACCGTAATTCAAGAAACATCGTTGAAGGCCCACATTAGAGATATAATCAACAGATTTGTTCAAACTGGCAGTATCAATAAAGAGAAATCTCCTGGAAGACTTCATCTGAGGATGATGAGAGACGACTTGAGCAGAATTGAACAATTGAACAAGATTGATGAAAGTATGTTACAGAACACTTTTGAAATTAGAAAGAGAGTGAACATATGCCTTGAACAGAATGATAAACATTTTCAACATTTACTGTGATGTTTAACAGCAATAAATTTTGTTTCTTTTTATCGTAATGAATTAGTTTTATTTTTTAAAAACATATGAAGCGTTTAGGCAACCAGTTATACACATGTGTGTGATCTTTGTCATACATCTTTGGGCAACAAATCTGAGAGGTGGCACGTTTACATGACCTACTGCGACCCTATAATCATTTATAGAAATACTGTGTAAAAGATGATCATACAATTTGGATTTTTTTTACAAAAATTTGGTTGTCACAAGTGTAGGAGAATATTATTATATCACATTTAAATCACTTTAATATAAAATATATTGAGATGACGTCATCAAATTTTTGGTGGGAATAATTAGCCAAATTTTGGTTAGCTCTTTACCATCTAAATGAGATTCCTAATATTATACGTAGTATATAAATCTTTTAAGTTTTACTTCCCGAGCGTAAGCAAAGGAAGTATTGTAATCGAGTCCGTCGGCCGATTCTCTACTTTTACGTTTTCTCGATCTTTCATAACCCCTAGAAGACGAAGAAGTAGGTCTCCCATTTCCGTCTGTCTGTCCGTCTGGCAGTCCGTCTGTCCGTCTGTCCGTCTGTCCGTCTGTCCGTCTGTCCGTCTGCCGTCCCGGATTTTTATTAGACAGATAATCTCCGAAAGTACTCGACCGATTGTTGTGAAATTTTGTACTTATATTAAGAAGATCATGTAGATGGTAAAACGCTAACCAAAATTTGTCTAATCATCCCCACCACTAATGCGATGACGTCACTTCAAAATTGTACATAGTAAATGGGTTTTCAATTGTATAAAATAACATAGTCCTACACATGTAGTTTACAACTCCGAATTGACTTTTTACCCGAAACGTCCAGATTTTTGGAAAAAAAATCAAAATTATAAAACAACATTTTGAAATTTAATTTTTAATCTGCTAACCAGAATGCTTTGAAATGTTGCAGATGTTTTAAGGCTATAAAGAGCATCATAAATCTTTAGTCAAAAAATATTTGCTTATCCCCTCCAAAAACTTGATGACGTCAGCTCAAAAGTTTGTGGAATAAATCATATCTAAAATGTACAAAATATGATGAGTCTGTACTTGTGATCTATCACTCCATTCATATTTTTTGGATTTGCATATACAGGGTGACTCAAAAAAATTAATGAATGCGTAAATTTATTTTACTGATTTACTCAGAAACTACAAAACCGAATGCTTTGAAATCTTGCAGATGTTTTAAGGTTATAAAGAGCATAATAAATGTTTAGTCAAAATATATTTGCTTATCCCCTCCAAAAAATTGATGACGTCAGCTCGAAAGTTTGCCGAATAAATCCTATCTAAACTGTAAAAATATGATGAGTCTGTACTTGTAATTTATCACTCCATTCATATTTTTTGGATTTGCATATACAGGGTGACTCAAAAAAATTAATGAATGCGTAAATATATTTTATTGATTTAATCAGGAACTACAAAACCGAATGCTCTGAAATCTTGCAGATGTTTTAAGGTCATAAAGAGCATAATAAATGTTTAGTCAAAATATATTTGCTTATCCCCTCCAAAAACTTGATGACGTCAGCTCGAAAGTTTGCCGAATAAATCATATCTAAAATGTACAAAATATGATCAGTCTGTACTTGTGATCTCTCAC